ATTAATTAATTATAATATCCCAAAGTGCACATACGGAGGCCGATAGCCTACGCCAGTTGAACTGGCTTAGGAAGTTTTCAACCGAGTCAGATAGTATCCACCAAAAATATAAATTGAAAAAGAAAAGTTTAGAATTGAAACTAACAAACGAAAAATAAAGTTTCTTCGAAAAAATACTCACCAATTCACACAATACATCAAAGGATGTTTGGAAATTTGTTAATAATGATATCAACAGACACAAAATCAACCGCAAACCTATTACGTTAGATACAGCAAACGGCATGATATCTGAGCCCATTGCTATCGCAAACTTGTTTGGAACACATTTTACAAACTCTATTGCGAATACACTGAGAAATGCGATAACTATGACATCTGACAATGATAGTGTTAAAGAAGTCAATCATGCCTCTATGTTTTTTCACCCCTATAGTGAGCACGAAGTTATTAGTATTATATCAAATCTCAAAAATAAGACTTCAGTTGGTCTAGATGAAATACCTGTAAAATTAATAAAGTATTGCAAATATATTTTAGCACCTCATCTCACCCAAATAATCAATCTTTCTCTACTCACAGGCCAATTCCCAGATCTTATAAAAATTTCGAAGACAATACCAGTCTTCAAAAAAGGGGACGAGCGCCTAATTGAAAATTACAGGGCAATAACACTGGTTAGTCCCATCTCCAAAGTCATCGAAAAAGCTGCATATGATCGTATAACCTCTTTTTTTAGATAAATATGAAATCTTGCATAAGTGTCAACATGGTTTTAGAAAAGGCCGATCCACCGAAACGGCAACGACAGAATTCACACAGTACATATACGAAAAACTAGAACAGAATTATTTCGTGTTGGGAATTCTCTTTGACCTATCACGTGCATTCGATACACTGAATCTGCGGATATTGTCTAATAAACTCAACTCGCTGGGCATACGAGGCTCGCTGAACGACTGGGTCATTTCATATGTTACCAATTGCCAGCTCGTAGTACAGACAGAAAATGTGATATAAGAAAAATTTAGCATAGAACTGGGTACACCGCAAGGAAGTATCCTAGGCCCGCTACTATTCATCTTGTATGTCAATGATCTACCTTCACGCATAAGTACGGGAGAGACATTCATTTATGCACATGATACCTCAATAGTGGTGCATGGCAAAACGCCAGAAGAAGCAAATAACAGGACCCTTACAGTCATACATGAATTTCATGAATGGTGCCAAAGAAATCAACTTTTAATCAATAGTAGTAAGACAACATGCATTGAATATTACTGGAGTTTTTTCCCCAACACCAAATCGTTATTTTTACACTTCGACACGTGTTTCGATCACCAAGTGATCGTCTTCAGTTTTATCTTCCTCTTGAAGATGATCACTTGGTGATAGAAACACATGTCGAGGTGTAAAAATAACGATTTGGTGTTGGGGAAAAAACTCCAGTAATATTCATTACTACACCAAAGGTTCCAAACAGTATATCACAAGAACATGCATTGAATTCACTGGAATGCATAAACACCAATCAGACTACAATATATTAATTAACAATATCACGATGAGCATGTGTGAAGATGCAACATTTTTGGGCACATTCATCGACTCCAAAATGCACTGGAACTAGCACATTGACCTTATCTGCAAAAAACTCAGTAGCCAGTGCTTTGCAATTAGGCAACTGAAGAGATCCTTGAACATGAAATCTCTACTAAATGTATACTATGCATTAGTTCACTCAACTCTGAACTACAACATTATGTCATGGGGAAATAGCACAGAGATGGAAAGACCGTTTGTAATGCAAAAAAGGATAATTCGTGTAATATTTGATCTTTCCTATAACGAATCATGCCGAGATACTTTCATACGGAACAATATCTCTACTTTAACTAGTATATATCTCATGAAAATCCTAATGTATGTCAAAACAAACATCAATTACTTTGAGAAACTCGGAGATATTTCAAAGTATGCCACTAGAAATTCTAAAAATTTGCGACTGGGCAGGGTTAATCACGCATTCTTTAAAAAAACTGGAATCTAGAGAGGATGTTCTTATTTCAACTTGCTTCCTCACAATATCAAATGTTCGTCCGTAATAATCTTCAAAAAAGAACCGAGAAAGATTATGAACAAAGGTTGCTTCTACAATATACAAGAATTTAAAAATTATTTAAAAACTATAAATAGTAGTACATAAACAATAAATAAACCTTGTTAGCATAATTAGTGGGTATAATTGTTTACCTGCACTCTAGTTTTGTTTAAGGTCAGTTGGTATATTGTAATGATATCTGTTATCTTGATTGCGATTTTCAGTTAAACATAACTCACATCTGTGTATACTAACCCACAAATAGTGTATCGGTGTATACAGTGTATTAGTATATACATGGATTTTATCTCCAGTATACTAAGTTTGTATCTGTTGTATGCAATTTAATTGTACACAATTCATATTTTATGTAATTTCCATAAGCTTACCTTGGTTTATATCCTTGTTGACGTTCACAATCCATGTCTATGGAAGATGTGTTTATTATATATACCTTATACATTTTACATTTCATTTTATGTATTTCTGACTTACCTAATCCATGTAATAGTGGCACTGAAGGAGAAAATAAATATCTATCTATCTATCTATCTAATGTAACATTAGTAGATTTCTTCTGTTTATTGTTTAATTCAGAAATGACTTGCCAACTTGCTTTTGAGTGATTTTCAGAAATAACAATTATTTTTGATAGTAATATTGTTTTGGTTTTTTTTACTAATGTATTATTTCTCTCTTTTTTTGGTTATAAATAGGGATAATTTTAGCACAGTTTTTTTGGATCACCCTATATTGTTTCGCATTATCAGATGCTCCATGATGAGTAGATTTCAACAAAGTATAAAACATATGGTCTGAAGCTTATGGTTCGGGAGCTACAAAATAATTGAGTTGAAAACGAGCCACCCTGAATAACTTTTGGAACAATGATTTTCATGAAAGATAAAAAACACCTCAACAATAGTATACAGGGGGACACATTTTGACATATTCACATTTGATCTAACTCTCCCTATCGAACCCCCAGAGCATGTCACCATTTTTTTTAAATGGATTAATTGTTTTGCATTATCAGTTGTTTCGTGATGAACAGATTTCAACAAAGTAGAATACATTATGGTCTGAAGCTCATAGTTTGGATGTTAAAAATTATTTGAGTTGAAAACGAGCCACCCTGAATGAACTTCTGTACAATTTGTTACCTTGGTTTCATAGGTGTTTTTGTGGACTAGTTGATTTTGAATTCGATTTTCTCTTGATTTTGTGTTTGTCTCATTCTACAATAACTATCACCTACCAGGTGGAGTTACACTTAATGTTTCTGTTTTTGTGAATTCCTGAGAAGCAATGGTTTATACGCTTCGAGAACGGATTGAAATAGTGAGTTTGTACTACCAGAATGGGAATAGTGCTATAGCTGCAGCCCGTATGTTTAATTATCATACAGAAAGAAATATATGACACAAATACGTTTCTGAATTATTGAACAAATTTATGGAAACTGTATCTGTTAACAATAAAAAGCATAACCGTTCAGGAATTGTCAACGATGAAGCTATATGTAGGTACTGCAGTTTTAGGGCACGTTGGACTAATGGAAAATTCACAATCTCTTACTGAGTTATCTCAAGAATCAGTACAGTCCTACAAATGTTTCCAAGATCCTGCAAAAGTACAAATTTCATTCATATAAGATTGGACTAGTTGATGAATTGAAAGAAGATGATTTCGATAGACGTATCGAGTTTTGTGAAAGTCTCACTGAACGGATCAATTTGTATCAGAATTTCTTGTATAAAATTTGTTTTTCGGATGAATGTATGTTTAGTTTGAATGGAGAGATGAATCGACCGAATTGTCTACATTGGAGTGATACGAATCCTCATTTATACCATCAAGTTCATACCCAACGACCTCAAAAACTGAATGGTTGAGCAGGAATTTCAGGTGACCACATCATACGACCGTTTTTATCGATGATAATTCGACTAGTGATACATATTTGGATATGTTGTGGAATCGAATAATACCATGCATCAATAGAGCAATAGAGGATATAAATTAATTTGAAAACGAAATAGTTTTTCAGCAGTATGATACACCTCCTCATTAGGCAGCTCCAGTGCGACAATTTTTGGATGATCATTTATCCTGGTTGCTGGATTGGAGTCATTTGAGATAGAATCAACAACATTAGAAGATTTTAGAGAGAATATCATGAGACATTGCAGAGAAATAACTACCGAGATTCTCAACCATGTGAAGGTGGCAATGGAAGCTCATTTGTACCATAGTATGGAAGTTGGTGGAAACGTTTTTGAACATTCACTATAGAATTTTTTTTTGTTCCCATTATCCAGTCATCAGAATGAATGAAAAATCTCTTTTTCTGATTGTCTTTAGAACGAATATTACAAAATGTGGCCTCCTGAATAATTGTTGATTTGTTTTTTTATGAAATATTGAGAAAACTCCATTTTCATTTTGTACTTTCCGAGGGTTGTAAGTGTTTTGTGTGCACATTTGCGATAAGTTAAGTTATATCCAGTCGAGTTATTTTTTACCCCAATGTATGATCTACCTTTTTGTTACAACCTGTATATGAAAGTTGATAAAAAAGGACCACCTAAAATAATTTTTCTAATATCATACATATTGTTTAAACAATATAGAAAATCGAGCCCCGCTTCAAAAGCCCCTCTTTCAAGAAATAAAATAGGAGCTGTTTCTGAGGGCTTATGGGGATTGCCTGTCGAGGTCATTAAGACAGTATTTACCAATGACCGGAGTGATTAAGAGGAAGGTTTACATGGATAATTCTCAAACATGTATTCAGATGAGTGAACTAGTAGTTAGCCTACGTATTATCATGACAACTTTAAGAAACATGAGTTTTATCATGATCTAAAAGTGATAAATATAAAAAGACTCAAAGTCAAGTAAAAGACTATCGTTTAATATCCTCAAGTTGCAGTACTACAATCAGAATGTATCAAGAGGTCTCACTGCGTTTTCTTCGTAAATCTTCAGCCATTTTTGATAAACTTCTCCTCTGGGATTTTTCTGAATGCTCAAATTTGTATCGATGTTCAAATATTGGAAGTTATGAGGTGTCACTTTGGGCCATAAAATATTTTGGAACAAACTCGTTTTCTCTGGCGTGGGATTTCTAAAAAAAAACATGATAATTGCTTAAGGACATGACAAGAACATCATAATATCAACAGATTCGATTTTCAGTAATTATACAACCGGATTTACTTGTATAAAATTCTCGTCGACTCAGTATCGAACATATGATTTAATACATATTAACGTATTCTATTTTGCTGTTTATGGAAATTCGTTACGTCGCTATGAGTTACGTCGCTTCCGTTTTTTATCATCTGAAAAATGATTACTTTTTATGTAACTCCCTCCGAATTGAAAATCCATTTACAAAATTTCGTCGATCCAAAATTCGACGATTTGGTTGTCTCGCTCAGTAAAGTCTCGATGCCGCAGAAAAATCCCGATGTACTTCTGTATGAATATGAAAAATATCTACATATTCAATATTGTTGATTAAATCGAAAATACTATCAAGTTTTTGGGAAAGAACGTTTTTGGCATTCTACTACTCCATCTTGATACAACAAAAAAAGTGGGAAGCAATCAATTTTAAAAGTAGTAACAGTATACATAGATGTGTAGATTATGCTTCTTTGCATGATCTACTACTTTTAGTACTCTAAAAATATAACCCTTCCAATATGAACTATCAGGTTGTTTCAAAGGTTTTGTACGTTTTAATTTCATGTGCTTTTGTAGCCCCATATCATAATAAATATTCATTCTACTGTGTTGTGGTATATACTGATTGAAAGAGAATTTTGTACTCTATATATTGATGCGGTTCATTTCTTCCCAAATTTCATTTTTGTGCATCTTTTCATGATCTACTACTTTTAGTACTCTAAAAATATAACCCTTCCAATATAAACTATCAGGTTGTTTCAAAGGTTTTGTACGTTTTAATTTCATGTGCTTTTGTAGCCCCATATCATAATAAATTTTCATTCTACTGTGTTGCGGTATATACTGATTGATAGAGAATTTTGTACTCTATATATTGATGCGGTTCATTTCTTCCCAAATTTCATTTTTGTGCATCTTTTCAGCTCATTACTATATGATGTCGTTTTCTACCTCCTCTTCACATTTTTCTGGAGAGAGAGACTAGATGGACTGCATACAGACTTGTGCACATTGCCAATTGCACAAATCAATTAAATGCAGAGTGCAACAGACTGTTGGTTGACACTGGAAGTCACAGCGTTCTGGAAATGACCTCTCTGACTTTATGCCTCCAACTTTCAACTACGAACTGCCTTATAAAGTACTATTCCCGAGTAGAGAGGACTGAATCCTTCAGGAGAAGGAAATATTAAGAGCAGAGTTGGTTCACAGATGGATCAAAGACACCTTTTGGTTCTGGTGAAGGTGTTTTTAGTCGTAGACCCAGGACAGAAATATCTACCTGCCTAGGAGCTTCATTACTTTCCTGTCCATACTGGCCTGGAAGGTGATGAAGCTGCTGACTGTCTTGCAAAGGAGGGTGCTGTAAGCAGCTTCATTGGACCAGAACCTGTCATTGGCATCGCTTTGGACTTTGCCAAACAAACATTGAACATCTGGATGGCAAGAAGATTTATGGACTTCTGGCAGAATCTTTCAGGATTGGCTCACTTCAAGGCGTTTATTCACCCTTCAAAGCTTGATACCAAACAGTTGTTGGACTACAGTAGGGATGAACTACGATGTCTAACAGGCCTTCTTACTGGTCACTGTCATTTGAATCATAATATGCAGAGACTTGGACTGTCAGAAGACAGTGTGTGTCGCCTCTGCTTGGAAAATGATGCAACAGCAGAGCAAGTACTTTGTTCCTGCCCCGCTGGGTACCGAATTAGGTTCTTAGAGTTCGGCAGATGCGTACTCTAACCATCTTACCTGAAAGACCACTCACCATATAAACTAATCGGCTTCGTTAAGAAGCTGGGTTTATTTGGCCGAGTGTGAATAGGTGTGAGCCACAATAAACCCTTGCGGGTTGCGGTGGAACGTCGAATAGACCCACTCACTTTAGACCTAACCTAACCTATAAGATGTCTTTAACGATTTTCGATCGATTTTTCTCTACGAATTCGAATTCAACTAAAGTGTTGCAGAAATAGCCTTGAAAATCAATCAGGCATTCAGCAATGATAGTGTTAATGAACGCACTGTTAGACATGGATTTGCGAAATTCCGTTTTAGCCTCGAACATGAGCCCCAAAGTTGTCAAGTTCCGAGCTCTGTCCTTCTCTGCTTTTGCGCTACTAAAACTATCCTTCTGTGGAACGTATCGTCACGTGTGATGAAAAGTGGATCTCTTACGACAACAGGAGACGTTAACCCAACCAGCAAAATTGTTTTATAATTTCATGGTGTTGCAACAGTTTTATTTTGTTGGTATTTTATAATTACTTCCAAAATGCTAATTGATTATATTATACGAGTCAGTTTTATAATTTGTTTCTCCGAAACGTTTTCACAACCATTATAAAATATAAAATTGCTAGTTGGGAAGGACAGTGGTTGGACATCGATGAGCCGAGAATACCGTGGTAACTGTATGGTGGTCAACAGCTGATGTGATTCTTTATAACTTCCTGCTACTGGGCCAAACCATCACAGCAGAGTCCTATTGTGTGAAAATCGACAAAATGTACCGAAAATTACGTCGTCAGCACTGTTCAACAGGAAGGCAGCTTCAGCAGCAGGCAGTCATCTGTTGATGTACTTCCTCAATCTTGTTTTTTTCAATATGTTTTTTGAAAATAATAAAGACTTGTTGTTTTTAGTCTTAGTATTTTCTTTGAATGCAATGATTTTTTTCTGTAATCAGTATTTGACTGTTAAATGAACTCAATTATATATTTGAAGAAAATGTCACATCTATGTCGGAAAGTCGCAATCAATCGTATCAGTGGATCTGATTTCCTTCAACGGGAGCTTGAGCTTACCACGCTCAAAGGCTTCTTCAAATGATAGCAATCATCAACCCAAAAAGGTTACCAGCTCAGTCAGAGAACACTCGATGACAGAGCCACTAGGCTGAGCTTTCGTCCAGCTCAGCACGCTGAAGACGACACGCAACGATATAACTCTACCCCTCGAGAGCATTTCGAATTGTTTTTGTAGCAATTCACATTGGATTTGAATGTCTGGAGATTAAATCTATTTGAAAAAACGTTCTCAGGAAGTTTATTCCACATAAACGCAGCTCTCCAGATGAAAGAGTTATTAAACAGTGAAGTTCAAGGTGTACTGAGTAGAACCTCAAAACGATGAGCAGCCACAGTCCGTCGTGTATTTCTGAAATGTACCGCTGTTGGTGGAATCAAATGTGCCGAGTGACTTGAACACCTCCCGTGGAAGTATCTATAGAAGGCTATCAAAGTTGCACGTGATGTTCGCATCTCCAATCAGGTGGATGGCTCTTTTCTGGATGGAATACAGCAACTTCGTGGTATGTTTGGGGGCAGAGCTCCATACATGAGAACAATGTTCCATAGAAGGTCTGATCTGAGCTTCATAAAGCATCAAAAGTTGCTCAGATGTGTTCAGTGTTCTGGTTCGGAACAGTGTTTCAAGTTTTTTGAGGAGCAGCCTTTGCAATTCCAGCGACATGATTGTTCCAAGACATATTGGTGTCCATTCTACTCCCAACAAACTTTTCGAAGCAGAAAGCGGAATTGTCTGACCTGACATTCCATATCCGGTTCGCAGACATTTATCTTCTTGAAGTAAACCGATGCCTGGGTTTTTGTGGAATTGATTTGAACCTGGTTATTTTCACCCCAATTCGAAATCACTTCTAGATCCTCATCAAGCGCAAGAGCTCTTGATTTACTCAATAATAAAAAACAATAGTCACTGTCGAGTCACAGAATACCTTACAGAAGAGACACTTATTTGGCGGCATTGATGTTGAGGGGTGAAGTTTCTGTGACCTATATTCTGTGTTCGAAGTGTTCGATGTTATAGTGGTGAATTCAAATTATCTGAAACTTCTCAGATATATAATTTGGTTGGAGTCAAGGAATTTTCACGATATCATTTCAACAACTTCAACCAGCCCTATTTTACCATGTTCACGTTCACCAACCACTCAATGAAGTGTTTAGGTTGAGAGTAATCACCTCGAGATTATCAATACGTTCATGGTTCCTGTTCTGTGGTGAGTGTCCCTTCTGAAAGGTATTCTGTGGTCGAGTCACTAGTCGTGAAGTGAGCTTTATCAGTGGCAAATATCTCTCCAATTCGCAAATCCCATCTCGAATTCTGAGTGAAATATCATAACGAATGTTTGGAATACATGAACATGAAGAGAGAAGTGTTTTCTTTATAATCCAGTATTCACATAAAAGTTGATGTTTCGAAAGTATTTCTCTTTTATGTAATTCAATGTTTATATGGAAGTAGTTATTTGGAGAGGGATTTTTCTTCCAGTTTGGGTCTGAAAGTTACTCCTTTGAGTAGAAAAGCAATACCTTTCTTGCCCAATCATAAATATTTTGTATCAAATAGGGATATATCGTTCATATGGATAATGAATAAGAGAACTTTGCACTAGAAAAGTTTACATTAACACGAAAAAAATTATAATCTCTCAATTTTTCAGCCATTATTACCAATATCTATATGTAACCAGTTCCCTAATACTTTACTATGCCTAAACTTTCTCAATATTATCAAATGAAATAATTTCACAAAAATATATGTTTTTGCGAAATAAGAAATATTCAGTTGTAGTAACCGTAGTACCAAGTAGTAAAAGTAGTAATAATAGTTCAATAGCAAGTATAAAAATAATTGATGGTTAACTTACAAGTATTTAGCAAAATTAGTGAACAAAGTACGGTATCGATCGCTGGTCAATATGTCATCTTTTGGGTAATTATTCAATCCAGTCGAATTGGACTTTACCCAAATGTAGTTCCCGTCTTCCCCGTGTATAACTCTGCCAACTCCTGTAATGTTGAAGATATTATATATATATNAAAAATATCGTACATATGTATATTAGGAAATTAATAAAAAAAACAAGAAATTAAAATTATTGAATAGAATAGAAACTAATTGAATGATGATCCTTATTTCATTGGTGCATAGATGTGAAATAAAGTATATAAAATTAGAAAAATCTAAATAAAATGTTTGTCCTTCCGGTCTGTCTAGATCGGAAGGACAAATATCTCTCAAAAATCAGGGGTTATACAGTATTCCACGCTTTCTTCATGGCCAACAATACATTGATTAAATCAACAGAAGAATACTTGCCACGCCCCAGGAGCACACAGATTCCTTGAGAACAATCAAGATAGCTCAAATACAAAATTAGGGAATCCGACAAATTAGAGGATCAGGAAATACCTCACTATAATTTTCATATGTTTCTTCCCCAGGCAAAATCAAATACTATATATTTCATAAGTCTACATTACAATTTTCAAAGTGGAAATGAAAATGAGAAGAGAAATGAGAATTTCTATGTTTTGTACCGCTTTTATTTGTAACTAACGTTACTGCAATTTCGTCCTATATGGACATTCTCAAACGTATACAATAAACGCAGTAACGGCTACATCCATTTATTGAAAGAAGCAAGTACAGCTAGACAAGCCACATACTACTTCAAACTAAAAATGAAGTACCATCAAGCATCGCAGAATTTATGGTTCAACCAAGAATGCCTGCGAAGAAAAATTACCCTGAAATACATTAACATCAGGACCAGGACAAAAACACCAGCAGCGGAGAAGGCGACAATGAAGGCACGAATGATCAGGCTAAAAGAAGAGTGCAGGACACTGTTCTCAAAAAGGAATATCCTGCAACATTATTTGAAAGTATTACACTCGGAACTTACTCATAAACTTCATCAGATAGAATTTGACATTTTTTATGACCAGAATTTATTGTATAAGTTTGAGAATGTCCATTTAGAACGAAACTGCAGTAACATTAGTTACAAATAAAAGTGGTAAAAAACATAGAAATTTTCATTTCTCTTTTCATTATGATCTCCTATCACGTAGTAATGGCTACATCCATCAATTTATGGAAATGAAAAGTCAACAAACGCTGTTTTGCACTTATCATTCAATAAAGTATTGAATTCGATACAATTCAATAAGTATGATTCCATGTTTTTCCAAGAAGTCACTATAAAACGTGGTATAGCAAAAACGCATCTGACATGGAATAACAAAAAAAGGTAAATGACAGCTAAACGTAATTTTGTCAATGGTTAAGCATGGTAAAAAATTTGACAATTATAAAAATGACTTTGAATCATCATTAACAATGCCGCGATCAAGACGATCGAATCTTTCCCGACAAAACCGTAATGCAAGAAGGATACGAAACATTAGAAGCACTTAACCGAACATTGAAAGATCTACGCAATGACTCGAGATATTTTGGAGGTGCAATGATTTTACTGTCTGGGCGATTTCCACCAAACTCTGCCAGTAATTCCAAGATCAACGGCTGCCGACGAAATAAACGCTTGCCTCAAATCATCGAATCTATGGCGATATGTGAAAAACTTCAGCTGACAACAAACATGAGAGTTGCATTGCTTGATGATACATCTGCTGAAGATTTCTCTGAGCAATTGCTGACTATCGGTAATGATCGAGTACCGGCCGACGAATCGAGCGGATTGATTTCATTTTCTCAGAATTTCTGTAACTTTGTCTCATCGAAAGACGAACTTATCAGCAAAGCATTCCCAAACATAATTACTAACTACAAAAATAATGAATGGTTGAGTGAGCGAGCAATTTTAGCGGCTAGGAATAAAGATGAAGATGACCTAAACTACATAATTCAGAATGATATAATTGGAACAATGCATTCATCCAAATCAATTGACTGTGTAACAAATGAAGATGAAGCCACCAACTATCCAATTGCATTTTTGAACTCCTTGGATGTGCCTGGCTTACCACCGCACAATTTACGCCTGAAGGTTGGCTCCGTAGTAATCATGCTTCGAAACATTGATGAACAATGTGATTTACGCGACGATACTCAAAGAAAAATTCGGAAGGTGAGGAAGTTCTCATTCCGAGGATCCCGATGATCCCAACCGATATACCGTTTGAGTTTGAAAGACTTCAATTTCCAATTCGTCTTACATTCGCCATGACCAATAACAAATCACAAGGCCAATCGTTGACAGTTTGTAGTCTGAATCTGGAAAATCAATGTTTTTCACATGGTCAGTTATATGTGACATGTTCACGGGTCGGAAGACCATCTGCGTTGTTTATAATTGCGCCTGATAATAAAACAAAAAATGTCGTGTATCACAAAGGTGCTCAACTCAAGAGTGCAACCTAATGAAGAATAATTGAAATACTTGATTAATACAAAAATTAATAAAATAAAAATGTGCTTTTTTTGCCTCTAAGGCGGAACGGAGTTCGGAGGTATGGCCATGTCGAAAAGAATGTTACATTTAAACAATTGAAATATGTCAATACTATAAAACAAGTCACTACATTGAAAGAGGTTGACTCCTTCTTTGTATCCAGTGAGGATATAAATTGATGTTTATTGACGCCGACGCCTCAATCTGCCAACTCCTCAGGTCTCGTGATAAGTTCTCTCCTTACAGGTACCTAGTTGAAAGTTTCTGACCGTCATCACGCTTGTTCAAGCAGGATGGTCGCTTTTCGATTTCGATGGTCCCAAGGACATCCCAAGAACAAAATTGTCAATGAATCTCAGGGTATATATAAAATTCCATACTCCAATTGCGATAGAACATATGTAGGCCAGACCAACAGACGTGTGACAAGTAGAGTATACGAACATCAACTTGCTGTCCGAAAGTCAGACCCATCCTGCCATGTCCAAACATCATCAAGAGACCACAGCCACAGCGAAAACACTACAAGCACAGCTTAAAGTAAGCTGTGCTACAAGCTCGAATAATTCGCGGGTATTTCGAAATCGAAAAGCGACCTTTCTGTCTGATCAAATGTGATGACGGTCAGATACTTCCAACTACCTGGCAACCCATAATTTCCCGATGCTCACCTTCTACCAAGATGAAAAAAGGTTGGTTGGAATGATGATTATTTCAGAGAGTTGTATATGATATTCTCCAAGTTCAGGTGAAAACACCTTACCTCTTGCTTCTCATGTAGATCTACAACTTTGTAGGTACGTGTGGCAAATGCCCAACGGAAAAACAACAACTAATAAAGCTAATGCTGTGCAAAGAGTCGAAGTAAAACCTTCAGACACCTGTGCTACTTCTTCGATTTGGAAGATTCATCGCAAGTTATTTCCACTATGAAAATCAGAAATTAATTTCATTTGGTCGATACGACTATCCAATAGGCCGTTTTCGGGGTACTTGCCGCATCATCAGACCATGCCCGATACGGTTTTTTTGTTTTTTCAGATTAATCAACTGAAAATTCATCTTTTTTGTCGCTTGTGTTTTCTACATATCTAGCTTAGTTTTCGATAAATAAAATTGAAGAACACCTGCTTTAGAGACCAGCTGACAGTGATAGTATTGTCATATCAGTGAAAGGCATAGTTGTGATACCTAGCAAAGGCTATGTAAGTAAATATACAGGGCTTTTCATGATGAGCGTTAATTAGCCGTTTCTGGCAAACTATTCAACGGATCAACTTGAAAATTCCATAGTATGCATAAGTCAATATGTCCTACACGCCTAAAATATTTTAGACGAAGCGGTGTTGTCGCTTCTGCTATAAAGTAGCGGCTTCTTTGATTTTTCAAATGGAATGGTGTATAATATCATATTATAACTCATTATCACTTTGTCAACAAATTCATATACTATTTCCCTATACCTATCTATTACACAAAAAGTTTTGTTTTCAGTTGCTCAATATAAGGAATGAAAAAACTAGAAAAAAGTCAGTGGTGTTTTATTTTTCAATATTGTCGGCTGTGGTATCCACTGAGACGCCACTGGACCTAATAATTTCAATCTAGGTAGGGCTAAATACGCGCCTCATTACTTCAAGTAACTGTAGCAAATTTCAACCAAATCGGTGTGACCATATTTATCATATTTCGTAAATACCGTTTTTTTTTACTTCAATTTGTTGAATTATTCACCGATTCTGATGATGCTTTTCCGTTTCTTTGCTAGTTTTGAATCGTAGAGAAAACCGTGCATGTTCAGATTATCTAATACACAATAACCACATTGGCTTACACAGTATCTTTTGGATTTACTAATAAATATGAAGAGTTGTATTTTTCATTAATTTCGTTCCGGTTGGTAACTCTGCATGTCATATCTCTCAATTCGCATGATTAAAATTCGCTATATAAATCGTCCAGTCAACGACGAAATTGAAACAAAGACTGAGTTAAGGACTGAGTTGTCTGAATCAGTTATGAGTGTTCAAATAAAATGAATAATCATTGCCCTCTCGGGAATCACAAAACTATTACTCAACAACGTATACAAAACGTTTCATGTAAGAAGGATTATGGTGATTGAACGTACCTTTACTGTACCCACTTTGTCATCCTCCAGTCGGCCTTTCGAATACCAATCGTGAATGGTTTGTCCGAGTTGAATCAGTTTGTTTCTGTCAGTGATATGCATGTTTCTACTGACAAATAAGGCAATATCATTGTCATAACTTTGTATTTGCGTTGGAAAGTAACCACCTGAAAAAAAATGTATTGTTTTATGGTGAAACGATATGAAAACTCGGAAATAACGATGATTTCGATAACATTATTAATGAATCATTAAATTAGTAGCGAAGTAGTGAAAAACAAAATAATTTTCCGAATATTTCAATGATTTACTATATAGTACCTAGGTAAAATTTTTCACTTATTGATGAGAGTTCATCCAGGATCCAAGAGAGGGTAGAACAAAGGAAATTTCTTTAAAAAAGGGTTTACAACCTAATAAGTTGAACAAATAATGAATATTTGTATGTATTTGAATGATTTTATCGCTGAAATAATAGATATTACTTCAAAGAAATATCTACCCAGTCTCCTTTTCATTTTTATTTTCTACAAAATGGAACCATTTTCTGAATAAGCAACTAACTGTACACCGTTTCTCTTCAATTTGTGGATAACTAAAATTTCCTATTATGGTCAAGTGATCTAAGAAATTGTGCTCTTCAGAATTATTTTGTTCTAGTCGATTGATTGCCTGTCAGATGAGTTACCGCGAGAAAATCCCATTGAACATCTAATAATGAAATCAAAAACCTCAAATATATTCCAATTTAAATAACTTTCAGAATTAATTCGTTCTAGTCGATTGATTGCCTGTCAGATGAGTTATCGCGAGAAAATCCCATTGAACATCTAATAATGAAATCAAAAACCTCAAATATATTCCAATTTAAATAACTTTCAAGTGTATTAATAGAAGTCGTTGTAATTGCAAAATGTCCATTTTGAATTCATGATAAAAATATACAAAATATGAGTTTGAATTATGTCACTATTCATGTGTTAGTAATTCACCTCTCACCATCAACTATGTGTAAATCTCTTCACTATAGGGATTTTCCGAATGAAGATCACACCAATAATATTAAAAAAAAAAAAAAGAAACGTCATGATTTTATAGCTTTTTTATTATTTCAGATCAAGAACCTAGAAGTATAACTTGTTGACCTCTTCATATATAGCTTCATTTTCAGGAAAAAAGTTGAAGCCCTTATATTGCATATCCTGAACATTGAAAAAAAATGATTGTTTGTCAATATCGAGAACACATCTCGCTCATTTGTCTCAAACTCAGTACTAATTTTATTTCAAGCTAGTTATTAAATTTGACTCAATCAATGCAATGTATTTGCATATATATGTGGATGACATTTTGGTATTATTTATAGGTACTAAGAGACAATTAGATACTTTTCATATGGATATTAACAAAATTCATGAAAACATTAAAGTCACTATTGAAGTAGAAGCAGACAACTGAATCAATTTCTTGAACTTAACAATTAATAGAATGAACAACAAACATGCTTTTTCAATTTATCACAAACCGTCCTATACGGATATTACCATACATTACAATTCTTCCCATCCTTATCAACACAAAGTAGCAGCTTATAATAGCATGATTCACAGATTAGTCAATGTTCCTCTTTCAATAGATAATTTCAATAAAGAACTTAATATCATCAAGTAAATTGCGGTTAACAATGGGTTTAAAGTCGAATTAATAAACAAAATACTTTCCAAGAAAGTCTACGAAAAAGCGATTCGAGACGTTTTTCCTATTGATAGGGTAGATAATCAATATTATAGAGCTTCAACGTATTTTGGCCAAATAATGGAAAAAGTGGCTTCATTTTTGAGGAAACGAGATGTTAAAACTGCATATAGAACAGATAATATGTTGGGAAAGTTAGTAAAAAATAATAAAGACAAAACATCCAAATTCGAGAAATCAGGAGTATATAAATTAAAGTGTGGAACGTGTCCTGAGGTATATATTGGTCAAACTGTCAGAACATTTAGGAATCGAATTCAGGAACATCATATGAGCTATGTGAATAAGAAAACAAATTCAACATATTCAAATCATCTTACAGAAGAAAATCACATCTTTAACGAAGAGTTCTAAACTGAATCATTTGAAAGCAATTGAAATTAATGAACTTAAAAATTCAAACATCCTAATAAATGACCAAATAGATTTGAATAGATCACCATTATTAAACTTGTTTTCTTAAGAACCGAAAAAGAATTATTATTGATGTAGATGTGAGGTAATATGCTTCAGGTGATCATAATTGAAGAGGTATAAAGTAATGAATGTTTTATGTTTTGTTAGGATGCGGACTTACAAAAGGAAGACTACAAGATGTTCTTACACTACTGAAGATTCAAAAAATGCTGCAAAGGCTGTCAACGATAAAGGAAAAAGTGTTAATGCCGCCGCTAAATAATTCGGTATCAAACGGATGACTTTAACAAGATTTTTGAAGAAATTAAATGAAGGTGGTGATTCATCCATGGGCTATGCAACACCGAGGCAAGTATTTTCTCCTACACAGGAAGACTCTCTGAAAAAATACTTGCTACAAAGGGCATCAATCTTCAATGGATATTTTCCAAAAGACGTCCGTCGCCTTGCTTATGAATGTGCTGCTAAATTTTGCATTGAAATTCCTCCCAGCTGGACTGCAAATGATAATAATATAAACATATAAGTCTGATTTTAAATTGAAATACTGAATCTAATGCTGAAGTGAATTTTGAGATAAGTTTATGTTTTGTTGAATGTAGTTTTGGTTAATTGTTCAAAATTACTATTAAATGTGGTTGTTCTGTCACTAAAAGACGATAAATAAAGAGCTGATTGTCAAACACATATTTTACTTCATCTCTAGTCAACATTGAACCCATGTTTTGGTTAGACATTCTTAGTGCTCAATTTGCCCCATACCCTTGCTCAACTTACCTCACCAATGGGGTACATTGAGCATACTTGACTTCCTGCATATAAATAGCTGTAGCTCTGGAATTCGACTTCTTACAAAAGAATTACTATGGACACATTTGATAAGGGATAAATTAAGAATCCATCAAGCCGCTTAAGAACTCATTGAGACTTATCATTGAGGAGATATATCCGTTCAAGTGAAAAATTGCTCAACCAGCCCCGCCCTACCCTACCTCAAGTAGAGGTTTAGGTAGTCCCAATTATGGTTACCTGTAGTATATAAATATTAGTGTAAGAACCAACTTGAAGTATTCAAATCACTTGAAAAAGCTTGTGTGTTAGCGAAACATGTGATATATATTTTTTAAATAATGTTTGTGGAGATCAAATCATGAGGTGTAGTTTATGATAATACAGGGGCGTTTCGAAAGGCAATTGAATTGAGATTTGTTACGACACTGGTTCCTATAGGTTTACTGTTGAAAAGTTATTATTATGCATATGCTTCTCATCACAAATTATAACCTAGTTCAATCAAGTGAATACTTCTCATTTTCCATCATTAGAGAAAGTCATTTTCAGCAATAATTTTCGTTAAAAGTTTGTGTGAGAATTATTGGTGGCCATTTTCTTCATTGGCAAGATTGACAGGTGAATATACCCGTACATGTGAGAGTGGACATGTGAACATTTAAGAGTGAACATTTTATTGTTGTTGTTCGTCGATATCAACTACCCAACTCACTGGATTGGATGTACAGAGCCTTAAAAATTGTTAGCTCACAGTCCTGATATTAATCATCTAGATTTCTTTTTGTAGGTTCATCTGAAGGCTCTTGTTTATGAAACTCATATATGGAATGTGAATGACTTGAGGAATCGAATAATTGACAATTACAGTGTCATAAGAAATACTCCAGGTATTTTAGAAGGTGTCAGACAATCAATGAAAAATTCACTGCAGTCGTGTCTTTTACTAGAAGTTGGATATTTTACTTATTTCCTCATTTGTTTATTTTTCATTTATGTTTTATATTGTCCATATATGTATATAGTTTATAGAATGAGTTGAAGTGACTTTTCTCGAAAAAAGTTGTATTTTCAATTACTTGATCGAAAAAATAAAAACATAGAAAACAAGGCAGTGCTCCTGTTTTTTTTCCTCAATATTATTGGCCACGGTGCCTACTGAGACACCACTGGACCTAATAATTTCAATCTAGTTAGTGCATAATGAGCTCGTAATTGCACCAAACTGCACCAAATTTCACCCAAGCAATTCCGAACAATAGGAACTTATTTTTTCAAATGACTCAATGGGGATCACTTTCTGGAGTTTTGTACCATGGTAAGAAAACACCCTGTACCAACAAGTAGTTAAATTAATCGATATACATTAAGAGACTGTTTGTATAAATGTTAATAGACATCCTCACTCTCATAAGATCGGTGAATTGAAATCGTTGTCCATCTACATAATAATTTGAATTTGATATTCGATATTTTTTAAAATCATTCCATTAGTTTTTTTGATGATTCTTGCCCAATGAAACCGAAAAAATACTTTAGATATAACTTTTGTTTTTGCATTTTTGCGGTCTACGTGGTGTCTTACCTCGGCTTCATTACATAACTACAAAATAAATTGTAATCGAACATAGATTTTTTTCAATCGTCTTTTCCACTGAAACTTGCCTATCGATATTTTTCCAGTCTGATATAATTTAACTGATTTTTGAACTTTCGCAAGTTAACTTGGTGATTGCGGCTTCATCTCAACTAACTTGAAATTTCTTTCTCACCTGAAAGTATTACAAGCATCTCTTCTGAACAGATTCCAATTATGAGGGGCACCCTAGCCATTCTACCATTTTCTATTGCCTCGTACATATTCTCGGTAATGAAGGCTGTCTCATGTTCAGGTTCAATAACGGGAGTGAAAACAAGTCCATTAGTCATTTGGTCAACTAATAAAGTATCCTGAAAAAATGAATGTATCACATTAGTAATTCAGATAGTGATATACTCGATTGATTACAGTGTGTTCCTGCTGCTGAAATGTCTGGCATAGATGTCTGTCGGAAAAGTTGTTTTTCCGACAGACATTGGGATACAATCTTCAGATAGACCAGGGCTACCAACCCATGGGTTGTGCTACCTATCGGGCGCGTCCCCAGGTGGCGGATAGGGGAACGACCAGGGGCTGCTCAGTGGCAGAAATAAGTACGGTGAGGGGAACTAAAACTCCACAAAAGCCTTTGCAAAACATACCACCGTGGGCCAGCTTAGCCAAGCTGTGGTGTAAGGAATCGTGCCGACAGCTGAATGGCCGCAAGGTGACATGCGCTTACGAATGCCCCCGTGGGAAACTGGGCGAAACCTCATTGTAATCAGCCTACCTCTGGTAATGCAGGGCTCTGCTAGAGGTGACCAACTCTTTCCTTGCTACTTGTGTGAACACACATGGAGGAAACAAACACAATAACAGAAACAACAAAAACTAGTCCCGAGGCTGAACAGAAGTGATCACCTCAATCTGAGGTGGTGGCTGGGGATGAACAGAAATGTCCACCCCAATCTACCGCTTGGAATGAGGCTGGACATAGCAGATCACCTCGTGATGTAATACAAAGGTAAAGGCGTAAGCGCATTTGTGGCGCCGAGACCAAAAGGAGAAAGAGAACGAAGGGGACAAGAGTGGTAGCAACTACATGTTCACCCTCCTCCTCCCCCACTCCACCTCCAACAGCAAAAGCACTTCCTGCGGCGGGCGCCAAGAGCTCCGTCTTGAATAAAGGTAAGGAACCGGCTGCCCCTGCAGGAAAGCTCCCTCACTTGTGCATCTCCACGGAAGGAAGCCCAAAAAGGTTGAAGAAGCCGCGAAACGACAATGATGTCGCTGCACCTTCCAAAACCTTCGCGACGACCACTGTGAGACACCTCAAGGTTGTCAAAGAGAGTGTGTGTTCGGCGAGTCTTGGCCTACACCTGACAATATAAGGGAGATGTCTCCAGTGACCTGTCCACCTTCCTGGAAAGAACAGGATGGACGATGACCTAGGAGAAAAACTCCTCGGGAGGATGTACAATGGGTCACATGTGGCCTAAGTGCTGTGGGTCTACACTTACCCTCCCTACTCTATAGACAGACCAGGGCTGAAGCCTTCAAAACTGGTAAAAAATAATAGTAGGATTAAACCCATCATTAAAGGAGGGAAATATGATAAAAATGAAAGGAAAAATAAATTTCGGGCGATCTGAGTTCGGGAGGTGGGAGGGGTGGGTTTCTAAGAGTGAAAATGGTTTATCTCGATTTCTGGCAAAACTACAAGTCCTATGGGAAAAATTGAAATGGCAAAGTAGTAGGCGATAAAAAGATCTACAATTTTTTCACGTAACCACAAAATTTATGTGAAAAATTCAAATGAGATTTTGGTTTTTTATTTTTATCTTTTACAAAAATTCTTGTTTTGAAATTCAGTGAAAATTCACGTTTTTATGTCCCAAATACACTGTAATTCATTTCATTTAAAATATTCATTTTTTCACTTTATTTTGACTTAACAAAAAAGCACCCTAATTTTCAATCGAAATTCTCGCGTCAAACTATCAGCTTTTTTCAAAAAGTCGGTGTGCTCTTTGTTCGTTGAAATATCTACTTTCTGATGGCGTGAAAAAATATACATTATTATAGTAAATCTGAAAAAACTCGAATTCGAAAAAATCAGTATGTACAATTTTGAGCTATTTTCTTATTAGTCAGTGGGCTATGCTTGAAGACTGGCAGTCAACAAATCTAAAGAAATGCACTTTAAACGTTCAAGCCAGTCTCTATGTATATACCTACACAGTAGGTTTAATGGACTGACGCCTGACGCTCCAACTTCGGAAGAGGAATGAAATACTCTGAAAGAATTCCGATTTTCAATTGTGGAATATCATTGACTTTAGGTCGATGATGGTCACTATCTTGCACTGATGAGTGGCTAATAAGCCCGAAACCGGCCTGCAAGTGTGCCCGTTTCACAATTGAAGGTCGACTCTTTCAGTTGTATTGCCAATTGCATATGCAGGAAATTTTCTGTGAAGAATCCTGCACTGACGCCTTGCTATCGTCTTGTAATTCCTCTGATATGCCCATGGATTAATATTCGATCCACTCTGAGCGATTGCTGCCCTGAATAAACCTTCAAATGAAAAATTAAAATCCAATGAGAAATCATATCACGTGCGAATATTGCTAAAGGTTTACAACACATCCTGTTGGCGAAAGTTCAATTGCACACTATTGCTATCTCGGATACGATATTAGCTAAACTAAATAAAAAAGGTACTTTTTAGGATGCAATAAAATTATGTTGAGAAACCCAGAGTATCTTGAGCCGTTCTCAAAAGGATCGGAAAAAATTGAAATAGTTGATTTTGATTTTTCTGTTCAGTATCTATATTGTAGAAAATGAAGACTACAATATACACTAATTTTATTTCTTATAAGTCGTTTTGTTAACATAGGGCCACCTTCATAAATAATTTTTACTGATACGGACCTCCCTAATCCTGTATTGACGTATTGACACTTGAAACTTTTTCTCGACGTTTCACCAAAAAAATATCATCAGAACTAAGTTGATTGTATAATGAAATTTGATTATTTAGGTAAGTACTTGATTTGTCACGAAATGAAAAACCCAAATTGAAGCCTTCAATAAATATTCAGAAATCAATTGTGATTGGAAAAATGTCGAAAGTTCATTATTCAACTCTGAAATTTCGTGAAAGTCGTAACTCGTTTATCAGACATGTTGTTGTATTTATTCATATTTCAGATCATTGTGATATCAGACATGTCAATAATAAAAAAACAATAAATTACTTTATAAATATAAATGAATAAACATATATCTATCAAATAAAACAGGCACAATACAAAACACTACAAGCGACATACTGATGCAAATGATAAAATATTATAAAACAACATAATATAATTACATACAATTGAAAGGTTTAACATAAAAATAGGAAGGAAAAGCAGTGAGAACAAGTTATATCAAGACATCCCTTTGCAGGAACTCATCTAAGCTATAATAACCACCGTTCGTCAATAATTCTTTGATATGGTTCTTGAAACTTACTAAGTGTAGGTCCTTGACATCCTGTGACAATGAATAACACGTCATTTTCATTTTGTATCCAGTTCATTGTACTCGAGATTTTAACTAGAATATTTGAAATCAATACCAAAGTCATAATATCGTTATATTATTTTTGGGAATGATGAAACACGAAAATAGCTATTTATGATATGAGTGTTGAAAGTAAGCTTTCATTTTGTGAGTGAAAAAGTTTGCGAAACGAGCGTAACGAGTTCATCAATTTCAAAAACAAAATCAAACTTACTTTTAACACAAATATTTTTTTGTACAACTGTCCTGTTTTCATAATAAAATAGATGAATTTAATATTTCTATAAAAACAGATCTTGACATCTCTTGTCAGTTAACTATTTTTATGTTATCGCATTTGCTATGAAGTGGCCGTGCCAGGTGACGCTGAATCACCTGGTTACCAACAAACGAACAGTATTGTTTACAGCTCACGCGTTTTATTCAACGTCACATTTAAAGTTCTTGCTGGTGTTCATTGTATTAAATACATTTGTAACAGAATTTAATTGTATCTATACAGGGTGTAACTAAATAATCAAGCAGGTGATTCCTCATCGAAAAAAAGATGGGATCTTTCATATAAAGAAATTTCATTGGAGCATCCCTTGTTGAGATACAGCCCCTTAAAAGGGGGTACATAAAATTTGTATAACAATTTTTTTCACAAGCACTGAAAAAGTTACAATATTGAAATCAACCTGATGTTTTGTACTACCAAAAAGACA